TACGTATCAAACGCTAGATTATTTGAGGGGTGCATGGAATATAGGCCTTCAATCTCTCTTAATGTAACAACAATTTTTCCTTTTATTTCACATGCAAATGCAGGGTAATTTGGAAGGAGAATCTAAACATTTATCAGTAGTCATGGCTCTCTTCCATACACCCCTCTGATTATCAATGTACATAAACAGAGGTGCTGGATATAATAATTGCTTGATTTCTATCTGGACCTTATCCCTAACACAACATTTCGTTTGTGTCTATTAATCCATTGGTATAGGTCAGACAAATCAAGATTTTCAAGGCCATCTCGTTTAAAGTCTTTGAAATGAATATACTTGCGACCCTCAATTTCACAGAAGGCTTGGAAGCTAACAACTTTCTTTAACAGTTCATCTAGGTCTTTTTTTTCTGATGATTCAGAATGGCTCCCAGACCTAGAGATGCGTTGTAGGCTTTCATCAAGATTTTCTAGTATCAATCTAGTGGTACTCTCCGCTTTGCATACTCTTGAGACAGCTGCCTCAGTGATGTTTGGGCCCAGATTCCTGATGCACTGTTTTATGAAGTTGTTGCTGTGTTCAGTTGATTCATCTAATGGGATGTTGCATGCTTTCTTGCCATGATTGTTTACCGATCTGTTCCAGACAAAGCATACACTATCTCTGGGTGTTAAAAGAGCATACACAAGAAATAATTGATAGAGGCATTCAAGGGCATACTTGGTGCTGTGTGTTCCATCTGCTTTGCAATGCAGCATGAAGTACTTGTACTGCCTTATTAATCGATCCCCATCGCCTTCCTTAATTGCATCAAGGAAGTTGAAGAATAAATACCCATCTGTTAATAAGGCACAATTGTAATCAAATACATCATCTTTTGATTTCATCTCTTCAGGCCTGGAAGGGGGAGATGGTTTGGTAGAAGAAACTTGGAAAGGTTCATTTTCCACTTGAACTGGAGGATTATGGGCCAGTTCATGGTTTCTTCTTGCTTTTCCATTGTGCTTAAAGGAACTTTTGCATCCTGGAAATCTACATGGGAATCGACCATCTGGAGTTAAGCCCTGATTATTAAGGACATTTCTTCTTTCATGCTCAGAAATGATGTTGTTTACTTTCTCAGCCACATTATCTTTGAAAACAAAACTATCCACCACTTTAGCAGATAGGTCATGAAGTACCTTCAGCTTGGCTGCCTTTTCCAGGGCTGTCATGTTTTTTGGCAACGTGTATTTTGATGGAGTGCTAGACTTATCTTCAAATCCCAATAGTGACATGGCTGCTCCTATCACCCTTGATTTAAAAACAACACGGAAAAAGTCTCTGTTTGGTCTGTAGGATGAGGACACATCACCTGTGACATTTCTCCGGTTAATTAGAGCACAGTCTGCAAACATAGTGCAGTTGTCCACTGATGATTTTCCACTAAAGAATCTTGAGTAGATAAGCTGTCCAATGTGTAAAGAAAGAGGTAAAGTAAATAAATGTAAATGATTATGTTGCAGTGTAATCTTATTTCTGGTAAAAATGGCATGGTTGAAAAGGGGAAAAACTATAGAAATGTGAAGTAAAAGGGGCAATATTAATTAATTAACCAGGAATAATATTGAGCAACAACTGCATAGAAATTAATTTGGTATACCAGCAGACTTTCAAAATTTTTGGCACTATAAATAGCAGATTTGATCAAATAGATTTATTCCATGATCTTATCCCATACCATACTGTTGCCAGAACGTAATGTTAAAAAAAAAAANTTGGTTAGCAAAGTTGGCGTCATGTAACTTTAGCTTTCGCTCAGTTGACAATCTTGGCAACACATTTAAAGCGATGTTTCCTGACAGCAAGATTGCTTCAAGTTTTTCAATGGGTAGAAGCCGTGCATCCTATGTTATTGGGGAAGGCTTGGGCCCTCACTGCACACAGGTATTATATAAAGTGCAATTTGAATACGCAAATTATGAGTGCATATTTATGTGTGATTCTTGATATCAATGAAAGTTTATGTCAGTATTTCATCTTTTAATTTGGTGTATGAATAAAAAAAGGTAACTTACTATAAGTGTTTGTGTTTCTATCACCAGATAATTGTTGATGATGTAAAGAAGTCAGAACTGCCTTTTTGTTTACACTTTGACGAAACCTCCACCACGCAGGTCAAGAAACAGATGGATCTTACCTTTCGTTACTGGTCCCCGACTCATAATGAAGTCTGGATAAACTTCTATACCTCTTTATTTTTTGGTCATGCAGAGGGTGAAAAGGTGGCTAACCGTATCTTCCAAACAATGTTGAAAGATGACCTTCCAATAACGAAGCTGTGCACTTTGGTAAGAGATGGCCCTAATGTCAATAAAACCATTGTTAGAAAGTTGGAAGGAGCAATCAAAAATGACAACCCAGACTTTAGTGGTTTTATTGACTTAGGAAGTTGTGTTCTTCATAACGTCCATAATGCTTTTGGCAGGGGTTTAGAGGAATATGGGAAAGACATTGAACAGCTTTGTGTGGACATTCACTCCCTTTTCAAGTACAGTGCAGCTAGACGAGAAGACTATCACACTTTACAATCTGCAATGGGTGTGGAGATGCACAATTTCCAAAAGCATACCGAGGTGAGATGGCTTAGTCTGGGCCCTTCTGTGCGAAGAATTTTGGAGCAGTGGGATTGCATCTGCAGCTTTGTGAAGGATCTGGGAAAGGATCCCAAAACAGCTCCTAAGAGTGTTGCTTACAAGAGGGTATCGGCAATGTTAAATGACGAAGAAGGAAAGAAAACAAAGGCACAGTTGGAATTTGTGGGTAATGTTTCACCTGTTTTTGAAGATTTCCTCACCATTTTTCAGAACAGCTGCCCACAGGTTCACCTTTTATATGATAAAATGTCTGAGTTCTTGCGCAAGCTTATGGGTAGATTCCTAAAGAAAGATGCGTATGAGAAGAAGTTTGGTAGTGATCTAGTCAGTATTGACTGCAGTGCAAACAGTCAGCTGCTCGATGCTGATATTGCAATTGGAGAGGCGACCAAGAAGGCTTTAGCCCAAATCAAGCCAGATCGTAGAAAGTCTGTATATCTTGGCATCCGCACATTTTATAGCACATCCCTTACATATCTACAGTCTCATCTCCCTCTTCAGAACACTCTCTTAAAAGCATTAGGATGTCTCAATCCTGTCAAGAGAGAAAAGGCAAGTAGTGTGAAGGCAATTGCACTACTGGCTAAAAAATTGCAGCCTCAGTTGGATGTCAGCATTGTTCAAGATGAGTGGCGAGTTTATGCTGTCGATGAAGATGTTGAGCAGTTACACAAAGAGAAACGCGTTGACCATTTTTGGCAAGAAGTATTCAATCTCAAGTCTCTTAATGGGACCGAGCCTCGATATGTTGCTCTTCCAAAAGTAGTAAAATCAGGTCTTATTCTTGCGCAAACAAATGCTGAGTCAGAACGAAGTCTGTCAGTGAATGCCCGCATTGTGACGCAAGAAAGGACACTTCTTGGAGAGAGGACCATTGTTGGCCTTAGATCTGTGAAAGATGCTTTGAAGTTTTATGATCCTGAAAACCTGAGACCGGAAAAATTTGCCCTGACAGATGGTCTTCTAACTGCTGTGCGATCTGCGCACATGCATCATAGACAGCGGCTGGATGAAGAAGAAGCCGAGAAGAAGAGAAAGGAGGTGGATGAGAAATTGAAAGCTGAAGAGGAAGAACGAAGGAAAAGAGACCAGGAGAAGTTAAGAAAAGAGACAAGATCGTTGAGAGATAAAGGAGAGAGGCTAGACAAGAAGGAGCAGGAGGCAATGGATGAAATGCAAACGGCTAATGAGCTACTGTCAGAGGGCACATGTAAGTTGCAGGCTGCTCTATCTTCAGGTTCCAAGGTTGATTCACAAGGTGCAAAAGTTGCATGTCTCATGATTGAAACGGCCAAATCGAATCAGGCAAAGGCAAAGAGGAAGCTTGAAGCAGTAAGGGAGAAGCAAAAGGAGGTTAACATAAACAATCAGAAGTTGCTGGAGAAAGCTCTACCAGCGGATGTTTCTGCTGTACCATTAAAGAAAAGAAAGTCAAAGTAAATGTAAACTGTCATTTTACACCTCTACGCAGGTGCTCTGCCAGCTCAGTAAAGACTAAAATGTTCTTGTGTTAGCAATCATCTGCTGGATTAATGTTGAAGTTATAAACATAATGAAAAGCCAACTTTGTTTCTGAACAAAAGTGAAGGTGAAGCAGTTCAGTTGTTACTTTAAAATTAGGGAAATCAAAGTAAATAAAGTTATGTTGTACAGATTTTTTGATAGATTTATCTCAGTGAGGGATATCAGGAAGATTAAAAATTCAAACCAAAAAACTCGTTTTGTCCTATTTATGTTCACTGCTGTTGATCGACTAAAGTGGTGAATCGGGGATAGCAGCTGGCGTGTGGGGAGGCTACCTTTGTTGACGAAAGTACTATTGATTTTCCTATTTTTCTCCTATTTTTTAGTGCAAAGTTTCCTATTTTTCCTATTTTCTCAATCCTGAAATTCCTATTTTCCTATTTTTTTGGGCAACCATGCCGCTGGACACCCTG